ACACACACACACACACACACACACACACACACACACACACACACACACACACACACACACACACACACACACACACACACACACACTAATACACGCACACTCATACTCACACACATAGTCGTTATTGATCTCAAAGGTACAGTGACTGTACATGGAAACATGAAGCTTGGAAGATCTAGAAGGGAAGACACCATCAGTTAATGCATTGTACAAACAGGTATTACCTTGCTGTTGGCTTAACAGCAGACACTGCTAAATGCGAATCGGGGGTTCAAATTTCAAACTGCAACCTCGTGCAACGGAAGAATGTGAAGGACGTAGAATGGTAATAGGCAGTCATTTTGGGTGAGGGCAAACGCTGGCCCCCAAAAACGTGCGTACCTTGTATACGAATACATCGTACGGGGTACGTTGTATTTAAATACAAAGCATGTATGGTATATAACGAGTTTTAGGGTGCAACTTTTCAGAAGCCTGTAGTGCCGCCATTGTTTTTATTTTGGGTTAACATCTCTAGAGTCACAAAAACGAGTTATAATTGCACTATGGCCCTATGGGGCAAGATACAGTTTGCAAGTGCACTTCCGGCACCCTACCTGACCAGAAAACTGGGTTGTATGCATTGCTCAAACTGCAATTCGGAACTGTATCTTGGCCCTTAGTGCAATTAAACTCATTTTTGTGACTCCTGCGTAGTTTCCCCCTTTTTGTTCCTTCTTCTCGAATCTGGTTCAACTTGGGATTTTTTTTTTCTTTTTCCCCTTACTTTATTTTTATTATTGCCGGTCCGGCGTCCCTTACATCTGTCCCATGGCCACATAGGCTGAGCGAGGCACTCCCGGCCAAACCCATCCCGACCACAGCCAAAGTTTGTCGTTGAATGGTTTAACCAACTGAAAACTACAGTTCGACAAAAAACAACAGCTAGAAATCTACTGAGCCTAAAACCATCCAAAACCATCCAAAACCATCCAAAACCATCTTACAGATAAAAGTCTAAGGAAAAAAAAAAGGAAAAAAAAAGGCCTAGTCTGACACAAGGCTAATCAAAACAAACCAAAAATTAAACAAAGAAAGCAGAAAATCGCAACAGTGGTGAGCCATCCAACAGTGTGTCCACGGTGACCAAACCCGAAAAGGCTGCCCATCTGCTCCCAAACCACTTGACGGCCTTGGCCGAATAGCCCTTTTTCAGAACACGATATTCCCAGTCTGCCGAAATGGCCTGTTTGATGGAGTATTTAATCTCAGCTCTGACCATGGGTGGTGTAAAGCGCTCATCTCTCCTGACCCTGGCATTTCTGAGGTTCCAGAGGGTCTGCCAGGACCCTCAGGAAAAAGTTGTTTGCAACTTTGCATTACAATTTATACAACATACTTTTTTTTCGGATTTAATGTCTTTTATTTAAAATTAAAATTCTGAAAAAAATCAGTAACCAGAATGTCTTTGCGGTTAAAAAAAATAAAATTATCCTTGCTTAAATCGTTTTCATTTTTTCTCGAATTTGGTTGTGAATTTCAACAGGACCTGTTTGTATTGCTTAAATCGTTTCAACAGGCAAACGTTGTTTGTATTGCATTGTTGTATTGCGGTTAAAAAAAAAAAAAATTATCCTTGCTTAAATCGTTTCAACAGGCAAACGTTGTTTGTATTGCATTGTTGTACAACTTTCTTTTTTTCGGATTTTTCAAATTTGAAATTTTGTGATTATTTTTTGAAAAATCAAAATTGCACAAATCTGAATACAACACATGTACGTTGTATTGATATACAATGATTATACATCGTTGGAACGTTCGTTCTATTCAGGAAAAAAACAAACGATTTCTGAAAACCCGATTTCCAGAGGTATTTCAAATAGAACGTACGTACGTTGTTTTTGGGTTAAGAAGGTAGTCAGAATCAGGCGAAACTCCCCACCAATAGATCGAGCAACCGGGGACAGCTACTAGAGGAGGCTGCTTGTACCACCTCCCCTAGTAGGCGTCAGAGGTTTTCAAAAAAAAAAAAAAAAAAAAAAAAAAACTGACAGTCGTAATCGAGCCAAATTGAATCCGAAAATTCCATGGGCTCGGTCGGGGCTAGTGGACCACAAATGGCTACCAGCGCCAGCCAAAAGAAAAGAAAAAGCGCCCCACTGGTGTTTCAGCAAAGCTTGGCGCACAGGGGTGATCAATCCCGCGCGGGGAAAAAGAGGCTCATACGTACCGGTCCTTCAAGCACGGAGCTAGTACAGGGCCCCCAAGTCCCACTTACCCGTATCCTTGATTTATGACCATAGATTGTAGAGATCGACGGCCGCGAACGAAGAATTTCAGCAAGTGTGACTTGGGCCCAGGAATTCACACAAAAGTGACATAACCAGCATGTACGCTTGTCTGAGATCGAACCCATGGTTATGGTAAATACAGGATGGGCTTTAGGTGGGGATTCCACTTCCTGCCAGTTCCTGGGGCAGGTATCCATCTGTGTAACCTGGGCCCAAAGTTCAACTTGGTTGTGGAGTGAGGCTGCCAGCACTGGCACCCAGTGGTACCCAGTGGTACCCAGTGGTACCACTGACTGGGAGTCTCCCGGTCCCGAACGAATGGTTGGCATCGAGGTTCTGCAGGTTATAGCCAAACTCAGGTAGAGTGAGGCTGCCTGGCTCGGGTGTGCAGTCCCCCAGAGCAGTGGATGTGTCTTCTGTTATTTCTGCCTCCCCTTCTGTTTCATGTTTGCAACCATGCTTGCTCATGCCGTGATGAGCAACCGGACTGACGCTACGCAGAATAGACGGGGCAGTATGTGTTTGTTCTTAAAAAGAAGAAAGAAAAAAGACTGTGAACGGTGATCCTCTGCCACAGGTTGCAAAACGGCATAAAAAAGAGGAAGCATACTCTGTGGCAGAGGGGGTGGAAGTCTTGTCAAAGGGCCTCAGGGGGTGGGAGTCTTGTCGAGGGGCAACAGAGCCATTCAGGAGGAGAGGGGGGGGGGACTTTGGGGGCGCCCACTAGGGGAAAAAAAGAGCCAAGAGAGTCAAGAATTGGCAAGATGTGTAGAGAAAGCCAAATGAAGAGAGAATTTTGGAGTGGGAGAAGTAGAAGGGAAGGATTCAGAGTGAGGTGTGAGCCACTTAGAGCTGAACATTTAGGGCATACTCACACACTAGCAGTTTGTCCACAAAGCTCTGGACTTGATTGCGGCCAAATTCATCCAGGTATGGCCGTAACTGGAGTCAGATGCATTCTGCGAAGTGCCAGTGTGAAAAGGAATGGCCCTTACTATCACAAAGTGTCTTTTTTTGGGGGGTTGTGTTGCCGTTGTGGTGATGTAATATGAAGTAGTGAGCATTACTATGCCTGGTTAACATAAAAACAAAAAAAACAAAAAAAACAAAAAAAACAAAAAAAACAAAAAAAACAAAAAAAACAAAAAAAAAACAAAAAAAAACAAAAAACAAACAAACAACAACAACAACAACTATGCCTGGCAGTGTCTGAAGGAAGAATTGAAGTCTAAACATGAGATTAGGTATGCAGAGGGGGGGGGCAATTAAAGTTCTCAGCCACACGAAATTGGGGTCAAAGGGGAAGTACCCAAAGCACTCAGCCACCAAATGAAATTGCAGTGAAAAGGGGTGCCCAAAATTCACTGGCAGGTCGTAGACAAGACTACCGTCTTCACCCGAATTACGCCCGGTCATTATACCTGCATTTGGCACAACTTGCAGTCCAGATGGAGCAATAATGACCCGGCGTTTATTCGGGTGAAGATGGTAGCATTCCCAGTGGGGTATCCGCCCGCACAAATAGGGCGGAAGAACACAAAATTAGTGCCGCGTGCGAAACAGAAGACTTCATTGTCAATTGTTAGTCATTATACCTGCATTTGGCACAACTTTCAGTCCAGATGCAGCAATAATGACCCGGGCCGGCGTTTATTCGGGTGAAGATGGTAGCATCCCCTGTGGGGTCTCCTACCGCACAAATACGGCGGAAGAACAAAAATCAGTGCCACGTGCGAAACAGAAGACTTCATTATCAATTTAAAAAAAAAAAAAAAAAAAAAAAAAAGCATTAGTTGCACGCAATTCAGTATTCAAGTGAGCACCACGGGCATCGCCACACTACACACCGAATGTGGAAACGACAAAACCTATGGCGACTGTATCTTTCCATGTTTCTGCAGAAGATGCATGGTCCATTTTTCACATTCCGGGAGTGGTGTGGCGAGGCCCCTTATCTGAGACCTTTCACAAAGAACTTGAAAAAAACAAAGGCTTAAAAATTGTGAAGTTCTTTTTTTCGTTTGTTTGTTTTTTCGTTTGTTTGTTTGTTTGTTTGTTTGTTCGTTTGCGGAGCAGCATCAAAAGAACAAATGCAAATTCCAGAAGGCAAACAGGTGCAAGGTAAAGATTCACAAAGGTGCAAGATGAAGATTCACATTACTTTTTTTTTCTTGCATATTTAAAAAAAAAAAAAAAAAAAAGATGAAGATTCACAAATCCAACGACAACAGGACGAAATGTGTTGAGATCAGTACACGGGCACACTCACGTTTGTTCACACGGCATACTGATGGATATGCCCAGCTATAGCGGGGTGTTGATATGACATTGTGACCACGTTACTCTCCCTTCGACAATGCGCGTCTTGATTATTTCTTTTTCGGACATTATCCATACAATAAGTCTGTATACCTACCTATGCACAGTGTGAAACGTAGATGGGCACCTTTCTCTCCTTTTGTGCGCCAGTTTG